TGTTTCTCACCTATCAGTTTGAAAATAAATTTAAAGTTGATCACACAATGCAAAGAATGGGTGGCAACCCAGCACTTGTAGAAACCACTTCCACTTTGCTGCCTTGTTTCTCACAATCATAACCATGTCGCTCTTATCTTTAAATAACACATTGTCACACAAAGACTCAGTTTCAAGTTTATCAACACTGAAGACTCAATTAATTAACATCCCATCACAACAATTTTAAGATTCACTCTCAGTGTGTGGGCACTCGCAGTGGCTCTCTGTACTGTTGTCCTTCTCTGAGGGATGAAAACATCCCTCTATTTTGTGTCGGAGGCGCTTCTTAAGCAGAAAGCGCCGCTGCACGAAGGCAGTGTTGTACTCCTGGGCTTTTAGCTTGGCATAGTATTCAGAGAAATTGTTAAAGAGGAAAGAGATCGGCATGCCGTTCAGGATGATTCCAAATGAGATGCAGCCAAAGGCCACAATGCGGCCCAGGATAGTTACAGGAACCACATCCCCGTAGCCCACAGTGGAGATGCTGACCTAAGAAAGAAAAGGGAACATTCCCATATTATTCAGTGTTCCTTAGCATTTTCTTCACTATAGCATGGTAACTTTTGTCACTCACTGGCTACTCAGGAACACTGTGAGTTGTATTTCTTGGAAACAAACGGCCACAAGGCACTGTTGGAAGCATTATTTATAACACTGACACATTAACACAGCCAGTTAATAAACAGTAACATAAATGTTTTAAGTGTAAAGTTAATCTTGAATTGCTCGAGCGAGGCATTCCTGTGGCTGAAAATTAGCATTTCTACCATAGTTGCATATAATATAGTCTAGGAGTTTTGTGTTTGATCATTTATAAAAACAGGTGGATTTGGTCTTCATAAAGCTAATCAAGGAGGGATTGTAACCAGTAAAACAAGCTCCTGTGTTGCCAGGTTGGACTAAAAATCAGCACTTTCCTACGAGTTTCCTTTCCTTAGTGGTTGTATTGAGGACTATATCACATATTTTGTCTTCTAAAGCAGGTGTATGCAGAGGAAGAAGACAGGTGACAGTCAGATGTTTTTTGGATAAGGACAAAATATAATGTCTAGAAGCTGGAGCATGACATTCAGTTATTCAGCTACTGATACTCACTGCAGCCCACCACCAGGCATATGGGATACTGCTGATAGGAGATCCCTCAGTTTCTCTCTCGGCTGAATGAAGGAGAGCAGAGAAAGTGAAGATTCCCATGGCAATGAAAAGGAAAATGCAACTGGCCTGCTGGTAACATTGCCGCAGAGTGAATCCAAATGCTTTCATGCCAGTGGAGTGTCGGGCCAGCTTTAAAATCCGAAATATCCGCAGCAGCTTGACGATTTTGAGGACGTGGCTGAGCTTGCTGACCCGAGCCATGGTCCTAAGGTCTTCCTGCGCATTCATGTTATCAGAATCAGTAAAGGCTTCAAAGATGAGCTGGATGAAATAGGGCATGACTGCCACCATGTCCACAAAGTTGAGTCCACTCTTCAAAAACATGATGATGTTAGGAGTGGTGAAAAGGCGGATTAAATATTCAAAGGCAAAGAACACAATGGTGATGATCTCCACCCATTCCATGTGCGTTCTGTTGTTAATTCTGTATGTTTGAAGTTCCTCCACAGTGTTTAGAGTCATTGCGACAATGGAGAAGAGCACAAAAAGGTTGGAGAGCACAGTAAAAGCCTTCGCCAGAGTTGAAGAGTATGGATCCTCCACAAAATTCCACAGAGTCTTACGCATATTCCCAAATATCATGTCCTTGAAACACTCGTTGTCATACTTCACCTCAACCTCAGCCATCAGCTCCCTGTCCACCTTCAGGTTGTCCTTCACCTCGTCAACCCTCTCCTCAAACATCATCAAGCAACAGAGCTGAGTGTCTTTCATGCTCAGGCCCCAGAATGCGATCTCCTCCTCAAAGTTGATGGGGCACATTTCCCGTATGACCCACAGCACTCCACTTGTGTAGAAATGGAAGATGTGGTGAAAGAAGGCAGGGTCGCGGTCAAAGAAGAACTCGTTCTTGCGTACAGAGTAGTCGTCGCAAAGCTTGAGGAGTTTTGCTCTGTCCCTGCAGAGGGCCAATGAGCCTATCCGGGTTTTAGGATATTTAGCGGCACACTGTCTGGGGATATGAAACACTTTCCCCCCAACATTGACGATGATGCTCTGTTGCTGTTCTGGTCTGTCTTTTGCTTTGGGGCACTCTACTTTAATGCCAGGACTGTCCAGATTTTCCAGAGATCTCCAGGCTTTGACTGCTTTCTCCTGAGAAAATGGGAATGTTTTCTTGTCCTCTACACCCTTTGACAGACAGTCGACAGTTGA